CCTCCCCATCACCCTTTGTGGCAGGAGCTGAAACCAYAAAGTGACAAAAAATAGACTCAAAAAAATTCCTTCTTTGGTAATGTCAGGAAACTTCTCTCTAACGGTGAATATTATGGGATCTCCCCGCCCTGAGTGATTCCCTGATGCTCCAAGATCCGTTTTTGTCCCTCAGGTATCGCTGTGGCCGCTGGGGTTCTGGCAGTGCTGGCCATCACCGCCGCCGCCGCYGTGCTGCTCACCCGCCTCCGAGGATCCCGAAAGAGGTAAATCCCGGGATTTTCCTGGAAACCCCAAACCAGGCCAGGAAATACCCAGAGAGGTTTGAGGAAGGGGTTTTCATGGAAGTTAGAGCCTGGAAAGGAAGGGGTTTGGTCCATGAGGTTYGTGGAGGTGGGTCAGAGATGCCGTGGTGGGGATGGATGAGCTGAAATGGAGCTCTGAGAAATCCTTAATAAACCCAAATAAATTGGGGGCAAAAAGAAATCAAGGACATGGTTGGAAAACGAGTAAAAGAGGGCTTCAGCTGGCAGGGTTTTACTTCAGTCAATTAAAACTTACTGATCGATCTGATTTCTGTGATTTGATTTCTGATTTCTGTGATTTGATTTCTGATTTCCATGATGTAATTCCCATGATCTGATTTCCACAATCTGATTTCCACGATCTGATTTCCACAATTCAATTTCTGTGATCTGATTTCCATTGTCTGATTTCTGATTTCTGTGATTTGATTTCTGATTTCTATGACCTGATTTCTGATTTCCATGATCTAATTCCCATGGTCGGATTTCTGCAATCTGATTTTCACAATCTGATTTCCATATGATTTCCAGGATCTGATTTCTGATTTCTGTGATCTGATTTTTGATTTCTGTGATCTGATTTTTGATTTCTGTGATCTGATTTCCATAGTTTGATTTCCACAATTCAATTTCTGTGATCTGATTTCCACAATCTGATTTCCACGATCTGATTTCTGATTTCCACGATCCCATTTCTGATGTCTGCAATCTGATTTCACATTTCACAGCCACCAGAGCCGGACGGGACCCGGTGCAACCAACCAGGTGTTTGTGGATCCCGAGCAGAGCTGCAGGGAGTGCCCCGTGCCGGTGCCACTGGGGCAGCAGGTGAGCCAGGGACGGCTCCAACCGCCGGCCAGATTGGGCTGCACTCGCATGAAATGCCCAAAATCCTGAGGGGATGGAGCTGGGAATGCCAGCAGGAAATTCCCAAAATATTGAGGTGGCAGTGCTGGAAATCCCAGCATGAAATTCCCAAAATCCCAATGGGACGGTGCTGGAAACCCCAACATGAAAATCCCAAAATCTTAAGGGGACGGAGCTGGGAATGCCAGCACAAAATTCCCCAAATCCTGATGGGATGGAGCTGGGGATGCCAGCAGGAAAATCCCAAAATATTGATGGGTTGGTGCTGTAAATCCCAGCATGAAATTCCCCAAATCCCGATGGGGTGGAGCTGGAAATCCCAGCATGAAATTCCCAAAATCCCAGTGGAACGGTGCTGGAAATGCCAGCATGAAAATCCAAAAACATTAATGGAACGGTGCTGGAAGTTCCAGCATGAAAATCCCAAAACATTGGTGGAACAGTGCTGTAAATCCCAGCAGGAAATTCCCAAAATCCCAATGGGATGGAGATGGGAATGCCAGCACAAAAATCCCAAAATATCAAGGTGGCAGTGCTGGAAATCCCAGCATGAAATTCCCCAAATCCCGATGGGGTGGAGCTGGAATCCCATCTCAGGAAGGTCTGGGATTGACCCAGGGCAGGAAGGGACACCCCGAGATAAGACCCGACATAAGAAATCCCCGCCCACTCCGTGACCGTTCCCTGTCCCCTTTTCCCAGGTGACTGATAAGAAATCCCTTCCCGTGCCTCCTCCTGCGGAGAACAAACCCCAGCGCCCCAG